AAAAAAAAAAAACACTGCCATTGAGTCGATTCCAACTCAGAGTGACCCCCACTGGGTTTCTGAAATGGTAAATCTTTATGGAAGTAGATTGACCACTCTTGCTTCCACAGAGTGGCTGGTAGGTTTGAACCACCAACCTACTAGTTAGCGGTCAGATGCCTTAGTCATTGTGCTACCAGAGCTCCTTGTTGTTAGGTGCCATCAAGTGGGTTCCAATTCATAGTCATTAGGAATACAAATCAAACTCACAAGATATTACTACTATCCTATTTGTTGTTGTTGTTGTTATGTGCCGTCAAGTCAAACCCGACTATCCTATTAGAATATCTAAAATTAAAAAGACTGACCATACTAAGTGGTTGGTAACTGGAACTCATATACTGCTGATAGGTAAAAGGATATGACCACTTTGGGAAGAGAGTTTGGCAGCTTCTTAAAAGCTAAATGTATATCTATCATATAGGCTAGCTAATCCATCTTCAGTATTTATCCAACAGAAATGAATATATGTCTATACAAAGACTTATAGATGAATGTTCATAGCAGCTTTATTCAGAATAGCCCCAAACTGGAAACAACTCAGATGTCCATCATTTGGAGAATAGATAAACAAATTAAGGAGCTATGGTGGTGCTGTGGTTAAGGCATTGGGCTGATAACCAAAAGGTTTGTGGTTCCAATCTACCAGCTGCTCCATGGAAGAAAGATGAGGTAGTCTGCTTCCGTACAGATTTATAGCCTTGGAAACCCAACAAGGGTTGCTATGAGTTGGCATCAACTTGCTCGCAGTGGAAAAACAACAACAACAACAACAAAATAACACTTAGCACTAAGAAGGAACAAACATGACAACATGGGTAAATCTCAAAAGCATTATGCTAAAAGAAGACAGAAAAAGCTACATACTGGAAAAATTCTATTTTATGGCTGTGGTGGTATATACAGAACTATATACTTTTGTCACAACTCAAACTGTGCATTCAAAAAATGCAAGAGGGTGATGAACACATGATTTAGAATAGTAGTTTCTTTGGGTGAGGAAAGACAAAAAAATTATATGGGAGAAGTATTCATTGCTAGATATCAATTATTGTTAATATTCTAGTTTTCAGGTTTGTTGTTTCAGATATGTTTATTATATTTTTAAAACAGACACAAAAAATGAAGGTTTATCATGCATGGACAATAATATAGGTAATTTAAGAACCAAGAATAATGACTGGACTCATTTCTGTAATCCTGATGTCCAAATTACAAATAAAATAAAATACTTAAAGTGATAGTGAAAATGATTTAATACTAGCTAGTTTAGAAAACTTCACTTTTTAGAATGATTACCCATTTCTTCAGAACTTGAGTTTTACTATAATCAATATTAAGGAAATTAACTCTTAAGAAAATAAGAAATTTTATAAAGCTTAATTCTTACAAATGTTAGCACTTACCCAGCGGTTCCACCAATTGGTCAACTAGTCCCATTTTCTTTGCTCTGTCTGCCCGAATATTCCTACCAGTTAGCATCATGTCAAAAGCAGCAGGTATACCCACCTAGTAGACAAGCAAACATCACAGTTTTGGGAAAAACATGTTAGAGTGACAACTATAGTTTGCAAATCAAATGAGCAAAATAAATATTTAATTAAGAAAAGTCAAACCAGATTTTTATGTTATTTATCAGTAAGTTGAGCATCTCTGGGTAGTGCAAATGGTTAAGTGCTCAGCTGTGAACCGAAAGGTGGGAGGAGGCTCAAGTCTATCCAGTGGCATCTCAAAAGAAAGGCCTGGTGATCTACTTCTGAAAAATCAGTCACAGAAAACCCTATGGAGCACAGTTCTACCCCAAAACCCACTGGGCTGCTATGAGTCAGAACTGATTTGACAGCAACTGGTGATGGTGGTGAATAGGTAATAGGACACATTAACATACAGTTAGGTAACTTTGGAATTAGAAACCTCAAGCTGAAGCAAAAGCCTTTACCTGTTAACACTATGTAGGATATCTATTGACTAGGATTGATAAAGTGGAGAATTAATTGGATATGTTTTCTAAAATTCAATCTCACTGATATAATATTCAAAATTACAATATGGGAACTAGTAGAGAATTTGAGAAACCTGATAGTTTTGGCAATACCTATACAAAGAATTTTAGGCTCAACAAAAACAGGACTCAGCTAAGGAAACGTTTCTTGTGTGGAATACTAGAAGAATGATTTCAAACAACATTCAAACACCAACTACAGCAAAACAAACAAAAAACTTCAGCAAATATGTTCTACTCATATAGGCTATTCATTCACTCAATGCACCCTCTAGACATTCCTATAAAGGAAAGCACACTATAAGCTAAAAATTAACACCATAAACCTTCCTATCTTTCTGTGCTCACTTCATATCAATTTCCCTCCTAAGAGTGCTTCTGCTGAAGCTTGAAGAACCTACGACGTCAGAAGCTATGAGGTTCAGTGGGTTCTCAAATTTAATATTAAGATTGTTCTATCTATAGCATCCACATCTAACTGTCCTCCAATTCACCTTAAAAATTCAAAAGCCTAAAAAAAAAAAAAAAGAATTCAAAAGCCTGATGGGCCTCTTTTGGTTCTAATGAATAAAGCAAAGAAATATTCTGTCTTAGTTCTCTAAAGCTGTAACAGAAATACCACAAATAGAATGACTTCAACAAATAGGAATTTATTCTCTTACAGTTAAGGAGGTTAGAAATTCAAATTCAGAGTGCTGGATCCAGGGGCTGGGTAAAGGCCCCTCAACTTTGGGCCTTAGTTCTGCCTCTTATTACTGCTGGAGGTAGAGGCATCTCTTAACTCAGGCAGCTGCTGGCTGCTGAAGCTGACAAACCCAAGACCAGCAGGTAAAACAGCATAATCCCAAGATCAGTAGGCAACACACCAGGCCACTGGTTCAAGTTCAGGAACAATCTCAAGATTGGTAGGTAACATGGCAGGCCATTGGAACTGTCCAGGAACTGGAGGTGAAGACTTGGCCAAACACAGGATCCAGATGTGCCAAAAAGCTAGAGACCTTTCTCGAAGCTTCTCCTCATATATTGGAAGCAGCACCCCTGCCCCCCAACAGCAACTACTTAGCTGCTTTCAGCAGATTCCACTGTGGAGGTGATTACAGTCTGATCATGGGGAATAATTACATCTAGCTGCTTAGCCACTCAAAACCATGGCCTAGCCGAGTTGACACACAAATTTAACTATCACATCATCTAAATAACATAATGGGGGAAAAGTATGCCTCTTATATACTCAGTATGAAATATGACCCATGAATTTGAAAAACTGATAAGACAGTACAAAGAAGGAACAAATTAAACTACAAGCTCCTGAAGGGCAAAACATGTTTCTTCTCTTTATCTTTCTTCAGCATTTAAAAACAGTAATTTTATGGAAGGGAAAAAACAAATAAATATCAGGAATAGAAATCTGTCACTGATTTTACATATATACATATTTTACTTTGAAGTTCTACAATGAGTACCCATGGTATGTGTTTTTGCATAAGAGGAAATACATCTAAAGAAGCATGCAGGAACAGAGGTTCCAAAGTTCACAAAGGAGTCTTAAACTCACCATTTTGGGGAGCCTCTGTGTGCCTCCCGCTCCTGGTAATATCCCCAGCAGAACTTCAGGAGTACCTAATACTGTTTTTCTATCTTTTGTTGCTATTCTGTATTGGCATGAAATGGCAAGCTTCAAACAAATGGAAGAAAATTAGAAAGTTAGAAAATGTAGGGGTTTTCTCTTTTAAATTTTTTCATCATTGTTGAGAATATGCACAGTAAAATATAAACAACTCAAGTTTCTACATGTACAATTTAGTGACATTGATTACATTCTTTGAATGTGCAATCATTCTCACTTTGAGTTGTCCCTTCCTCATTAATAAAAACTGCCTGCCCTCTAAAGTTCCTATCTAATCTTTAGAGTTGCTGTTTCAATTTGATCCCATATAAACAGTTCATAAAAGAGTGTAATGCTCAAGGCAGACCTTTTTTTTTACTAGTTAAGCTAAACTATTGTTTAGATTTCCACCATTCATCTGTCAGTTTAATCACACTGTGGTGACTTTCACATTGTTGTGATGCTAGAAACTATGCCACTGGTATTTCAGATATTAGTATGGTCACCCATAGTGGACAGGTTTCGGTGGAGCTTCCAAACTATGACAGCCTTGGAAGAAGGACGTGGCCAGGTCTATAACTGGCCACTGAAAACTTTATGAATACCATGGAAAGACTGAAGAAGTTCAAGCTGCACTGAAGGCACTGGTGAAAACAAAGATCCAGGCTTTGACAGAATGAATATGTCAGTGATAGGTTTCAACAAGTGGATGCAGTGCTGAAGGTGCCTACTTGTTTATGCAAGAAATTTAGAAGACAGCTACCTGGCCAATTGACCAGAAGAGATCCATATATGTGCCCATTCCAAAGAAAAGTGATCTAATAGAACATGGAAATTACTGAACAATTTCATTTATATCACATGCAAGTAAAATCTTGCTGACAATAATTGAAAAAGGGTTGCAGCAATAAATTGACAGACAGCTTCCAGAAATTCAAGCTGGATTCACAAGAGGATGTGGCACAAGGGATATCATTGCTGATATCAGAGGGGTCTTGGCAGAAAGCAAAGAATACCAGAAAGATGTTCACTTGTGTCTTATTGACTATGCAAAGGCATTTGACAGTGTGGATCATAAATTATGGATAACATTGCAAGGAACGAGAATTCCAGAACGCAGTTGTGCTCATGAGGAGCCTGTACATAGACCAAGAGGCAGTTGTTCAAACATAACAAAGGGATATTCCATGGTTTAAAATTAGGAAAGGTGTGTGTTAGGGTTACATCCTTTCACCATAGTTATTCAATCTGTATACTGAGCAAATAATAGAAGAAGGTAAACTATATAAAGAACGCAGAATCAGGACTGGAGGAAGGCTCATCAACAACATGCGATATGTAAATGACAGAACCTTGCTTGCTGAAAGTGAAGAAGACTTGAAGCACTTACTGATGAAGATCAAAAACTACAGCTTTCAGTATGGCTTACAGCTCAACATAAAGAAAACTAAAATTCTCACAAGTAGACCAATAAGCCACATTACGATAAATGTAGAAAACATTTAAGTTGTTAGGGATTTCATTTTATTTGGATACACAATCCACGCCCATCGAAGCAGCAACCAAGATATCAGACAACGTACTGCACTGAGCAAATGCTGCAAAAGACCTTAATTGCCTCATATGCATGTGAAAGGTGGATGCTGGATAATGAATAAGGAAGACCAAAGAATACTACATTTGAATTATGGTGTTGGAGAAAAATATTGAATATCCATGGACTGCCAGAACAACAATCAAATTTGTCTTGGAAGAAGTATAGCTTGAATGCTCATTGCAAATGAGAATGGCCAGACAGTGTCTCTCATACTTTGGTCATATTATCAGAAGGGAACAGTCCCTGGAGAGGGATATTATGTTCAGTAGAGGGTCAGTGAAAAAGAAGACTCTCAGTGAGATGAACTGACACACTGGCTGCAATAATGGGCTGAAGCATAGCTTGTTGTGAGGATGATGCAGGACTGGGCAGTATTTTGCTCTGCTGTACACAGGGTCACCACGAATCAGAACTGACTTGACAGCACCTAAAAGCAACATTGTTTGGTTTTAAGAAATCTTCAGGGGATATTTCTGACTTAATATTTAAAGATTATCTCAGGGCAATAATTTCAGGGTTCACCCCCCTCCATGGCTCCACAAGGTCTGGAGTCCATGAAAATTTGAAACCCTGTTCTACATTTCCCTCCTTTTGATCAGGATTCATCTATGGAATCTCTGATCAAAATGTTTAGAAATGGTAGTCAGGCACCATCCAGTTCTGTTCTCAGGGCAAAGGAGGCAGTTGTTCACGGAGGCAACAAGCCATACATTTCATATCTCCTTCCTCCTCAGTTTCTGCAGGTGAATAGAGATGAATTGTGCCTTGGATGGCCATAGCAAGCTTTTAAGACCCCAGTCACTACACAGTTGACTAGCAGATAGACAGAAGCACTAAACCATTAGTTGGCCAATTAACTGGGATGGCCCATGAAATCAGGGACCTAAACCTCCAAAACAAGCACCAAATCCCATGAGATGTCTGGCTGCACATAAGTAGCCTTAGCAGCTAGTTTTTTTTTTTTTGTTCATTGTTGTAAATTTTTCATACAACTTTTGCCAATTCAACTTTTTACAAGGGTACAACTTACTAACAGCAATGACAGTAATTGGATATACAATCCTACCCTTAATCCATGTGATTTTAGAAAATGTAGCTTTATAACATCTTGGGATTTGTGAAGATATAAAGATTACTCATGAAGGAGGGCAATACCCACAGAATAAACTGAAATTCTTTAGCTTGGCATTTGATACTTTCTGTAATTTGCCTTATTAGCATACTTCACACTTCCCCTAATTTATTGACTCTTTTTGGGTTGCACCAACTCCCTGGAAATCTTCTGAAATCTAGGGAAGCTCTCAATAGAAAAGTGTACACACAATTTTATATGGACTCCAGGTTAAGAAGCCCTGTATTCTATAGACACTCTCCTTTCCAATCAGGCAAGTCTACTCACAGTATTCCAACAGGCTTTATTTATCCTTGCCTTTGCTTACACCATGCCAAATGTGAAATGCTTTCTCTGCTATTTTCTGATTAATCAAATCCTGCTCATCTTTTAGGGCCAGGCACAGGCTTGCTTAAATCATATATGTGAACATGTCTAGCATAGAGCCTAGCATATAATCAATGTTCAGTAGATAGTTTCTTTTTTTTCCTCCTTGCTTCCTACATGCTCCAGTCCAGATTTCTCCCAAATCTTATTATTTATCATATTTTCTACTCACAAAGAACTTAAACATAATGTTTTGTGTGTCTCAACTAAACTTAAATAGCTTAAGAGCATGGATCATACTTCTGAATCTTTGCCCTGCAAACCTGAACCAGGTTTTTAGAATTGAAAGGAACTGTAGAGATCTAGTTCAAACCTTCTCAATTTATAAATGAAAAAAATTTATAAATGAAAATTTCAGCCACCTTGATTTATTTGTTCTGTGTCACTCAGATTGTTAATGCAATAATAAAGCTTAAAACCCATCCAGAAGTTTGATAACTAAACATAAAGTTGATTCTTCTGCTAGCAAACAACAGTTAAAAGGTTTACTGCTGGTGAATCCCAGGAATGAGCTAGATGGTGTCTCAGTGACTGGAATAAATCTATACCTCAAGTCCTCCTCCCAAGCAGGAACCACTGATGGCAGCCACAATAGGCTTTGTGGACTTTTCAAGTTTCTCAAACGTTCTCTGTCCTTCTTGTGACAATTGTATTACTTCTTGAGAGGTCTTGCAAGTGGCTATCATGCTGCAGAATCCATGAAAAATGAAGAACAGAAAAAAAATAAATGTGAAAACTACAGCCTATTTGTTCAATACCTCATCCACTATATATAGTAACATCTGTAAAATCCAGAACCAGTGTGAGATGGAAACCTGTCAGAGAAGGAAAACTCAAATGTTTCCCACTAAAACGAGCCATAGAAAAGTGTTAAGACTGTACCTTGTCAGAGGTGGAAAACTTGTGAGACCTGGAAAAACAAGGCAGTCTTGTTGAGCTCCAGCTCTCACAGGTTTCACTGTACTTGTTGTTGTTATGTGCCGTGGAGTCGAACCTGACTCATAGCGACCCCTCCTTGGGTTTCTGAGGCAGTATCACTACAGAAGTAAATTGCCCCACCTTCCTTCTGAGGAGTGGCTAGGGGGTCTGAACCACCAGCCTTCTGGTTAGCAGTCAAGTGCCTCAGGCACTACGCTACCAGAGGTCCTGTACTTACTCTACCTTTTATCAATATCTGGTAGTGAACCTTCAAATATTCAGAAGTTTAAGAGTAACTTTTGCCTCAAAAATTAAAAAGCACTATTATCAGCAACATCTCTTTTTAAAGAAATTAAAGTTCTGGACTCACAGAACATGAAACAAAGAATTTTCCATTATTTATTTTTGCTTCTATGACAAATCATAGGAGCTCTGGTAGCATAATGCCTAAGGCACTTGACTGCTAACCAGAAGGATGGTGGTTCAAACCCACCAGCCACTCCTCGGAAGGAAGGTTGGGCAATATACTTCCATAGTGATACTGCCTCGGCAACCCAAGGAGGGGTTGCTGTGAGACGGGGCCGACTCGATAGCACACAACAACAACAACAACAACAACAACGACAAATCATCAGATTATAAAGCCCTGCAGATGAGAAAGCATTTGGCTGCTAACCAGAAGGTCAGTGGTTCAAACACCAGCTGCTCCATGAGAAGATGAGGTAACCTACTTCTGTAAAGATTTACAGCCTTGGAAACCCAATGAGTTTGCTATGAGTCGGAATCAACTCAATGGCAGTGGGTTTGGGTGACTAGATGAGAAAACATCTCCTGGTAAGTACTTTCATTATTAGATTAAATATTTTACTATTCAGTAGCTATTAGATTAAGCAGCAATCAAAATGACCGAAAAAAAAAAAAAAAAAAAAAGGTTTTCAAGTTGTTTGGAAGGATCTAAAAAACTCCCCTAATAATTAAAAAGATTTTGTATAGTAATTTACTTTATGTCCTTCAACTTCAGTTTGCTTCATTTCCTATATACTTGATTTCCAAACAGATTTAAGCTTTGGATTTTGTACTTTGGACCAAAGATAACTAGTACATTCTATATTTCAGACACTGGAAGGTGCTCAGCTAGCCTTATATAGGGTACATGTATTTCCTATGGATAAAAAAAGGTATACTGTCAGGTACATTAGTGTTTTGCTAGGCTTAACTGAATTAGACATTTAAGTACAAATTGCTAAGCTTATAATGCTGGCCATCATTGCCTAAACTGTAAGGAACAAATACCCTTTTTTTTTTAATTAAATTTTTATTGCGAATTGGGTGGAAGTTTACAGAGCAAATTCATTTTCCATACAGCAGTTCATACACATTTTGTCTCATGACATTGACTGTAGTTCCCTGCAATGTAACAGCTCTCTTCCCACTCCCTCCCCATAGTCACCTCTTCCCTGTGTTCTTCCCTCCCATACACTACCCGCCCCCAGGTGTTCTCTGAGCAAACCTGCCCTTCTGTTCTCCCAAGATTGATTGCTCCAAGTAGTGTATCTACCTGATGTAACTGTTAACCCCATATGCCTATCTACTGTTTGGCTGGAAGCCACAGGACTAAGTTCAACTCCAGACCTGAAAGGTGGCTAGGAGCTATAGTCTCAGGGGTCTCACCAGGCTCTATCAGAGCAGTAAACTTAGACTTTTTTTTTTTTTTTTTTTAATACGATTTAGAGTTTTGTTCCACATTGTTCTCCCACTCTATCCAGGATCTCCTGCACCAATCCCCCTCTGAGCGGTTGACAGTGGTAGCCAGGCACCATCTAATTCTTCTAGTCTCATGGTCATATAGGCTGAGGACTGCATGGTTTACCAGTCCCTTGGACTAAACAACAAATACCTGTATTTTGACAGAATTAACAACTGCTAACATTTTAACCCATTAAACTAATAAGAAGATACTGTTTCCCCTTTTATATTCTTAAAAAATTTTGAACAAGTTATATATACATATGGGAGCTCTGGTGGCATAGTGCCTAAGGCACAAGACCACTAACTAGAAGGCTGGTGGTTCAAACCCACTAGCCACTCCTCAGAAGGAAGACTGGGCAATCTACTTGGGCAGCGATACCGCCTCGGAAACCCAAGGAGGGGTCGCTTCGAGTCAGAGACAACTCGATGGCACATAACAACAACATACATGCATACAATCCACCATTTGAAAAATGGAAAGGAAACATGACTTGCATTTGAAAAATTCCCTTTGATTACCTTTTCCAGTCCATTTTCATGTTTCATATGTTCACATCCTTCCAGATCAAACTGTACATATTTACGTCCATAATGTACAGAATGATTTCATATGTGGTTTAAAGACATTTATATAAATGATACACTGTATGAAACGTTCTGTAACTTGCTTTATTTTTAACTTAACATTATGTTTTTGAGAGCTAACGGAACTCTGGTAGCACAGTGGCTAAGACACTTGCCTGCTAACCAGACGGCTGGCGGTTCAAACCCACCAGCCACTCATCGGAAGGAAGATTGGGCAATCCTACTTCCGTAGTGATACTGCCTCGGAAACCCAAGGAGGGGTCGCTATGAGTCAGGTTTGACTCGACGGCACATA